CGGGCCCAGCTTGTTATGATACAAAACGACCCTGAAAATCCCAGGTCGCTATCTCAATTCTTTCTCGAGTTATCGTGCGGACAGACAGACAGACAGACAGACAGACAAACAGAATGAAACTTTTCAGGTCAGTGGAGTAATGGGCTTCGCTAATCGCTCAGCCAATAATACTTATGAGGCATTCGCAACGGTACTGTCAACCTGAAAACGCGCTACATGGTCGAACGGAGGTTCATAATGATAATGAATGGTCTACTACGGCTGTTATTGCACGATATTTGTGCACTGTTTTATTCGCAGAACCAAAGTTTCAGAATTACTTACCGTATTCGCCGAGGATACAGCGCAGTTTCATTTTGGCTGTTGCAGGTTTATTCAGTTCGAAGGATTGCTGCATCACTAAAACTAGGAAGAGGAGCTGGGTGGTATGGATTGTCCAAAAACAGGGTCAATCTGAGAGAAAATAGTTATTGAGTGAAAAAGTGTATTAAGTGTATGCACTTAAAATTACTGCTTTCTTGTACTTTTTGTCTCTTAGGTGGCCTATTTTCTTTATTACTATCTTCTGAATCTTGGTGGCAGGAGTCATTATCATCACCTTCACTATCTTCAGCATCTTCATCATCTTCATTATCTTCATCATCTTCATCATCTTCATCATCTTCATCACCTTCATCATCTCCATCATCAAAATCATCTAAATCAGTTCCAGGCATTTCCTCAGCAGGTGTGATGTTATTTTCCAATATCCTTTCTGAAATCCCTGCTTTCAAAATTTGAAAAACTTTAGTGCCTAATACTATACCTATGCCATATTTAAATAGCTGTAAAAACTATAATAACTTGTAGGAATCTCAGGCTGTTTGGGTGGCCTTTTTTTGTCTGCTTTCAAGTTCTTGGTGTAACTGGTTTCATGAAATCCGGCATTGTGATGGGAAGGCCTGAGAGGCGAAACATAAAGAAACTGAAATATACAACCGTTTTTATGAACGCAAAAGAAAAATAATGCAGTAGCTTACTATTGCTCATCATGTAGTCATATCTCCTTTTAAGCATCCTGTAACGGTCCTTCTCATCTATTGAGAACTAATTCCACAGCTTTTGTTTTAGTAGTATTAAAGGATGGTTTTATGTCCAAATACTGATCATCTTCAACTTCCCTGATGAAATAAATATAAATAATTAGTTTTGTGCATTTCAATCTACTTTGTATCATGTTCCTGTTTGATTGAATCAGCTTACATTACTGTATCATTGCCCGATGTGAATTCAATACAGCTATCGTAATGGTCACTGAAAGGATTGTATACAATTCTTGACTGGAATGTTCCTAGTGGGTTGATCACTAATGTTTTCCCACTCACTTGGAAAACTACAATTTTGCAGTCTAGCTGTATAGCAATGATTTCTAAAGCATCCTCCATTTCCTGGGCAACTACTTCTCCTTCCACTTGGCATTTCAGACTGTCAACGACCTTTAGATGAGCACTTGAATATGCATCATATGAGTCTAAACTGTAAGTTCAAGCTGCCAGCAGGCTAACTGGATCTCTCATAATTAGAGTGGTGCAGAATCCTCCCTCAACTATTTCCTTGCAAGATTCCCTTGAAAAGACGGATTTTAGTAAATTTGATGCGACATGCATATTTGTCATTAAAGACTGTGGTGAAGCATACATTTACAAGGCCAAATCACATTCTGGGTTACTTCTATCTGGACGTTCTTCATTCGGTTTTATTTGTTCTGCATTATCCTGAACTCCAGTCGTTTCTTCAGTATCCTTTTGGTTGTCATATGGAATACTCTCTTGCACCTGAAACTATGAGAAGTGCTTGTAATTCCACGTGCCATGCCCGTCACACTTGCTACAATAAACTTTCTTACCTATTAAAGTTTTGCCCAATGAGCAATAACTATTTGACCATCTTCAAATACATGTTTGTTTTTACTACCACTGTCTCGTCAAACTT